GTGTGTGTGTGTGTGTGTGTGTGTGTGTGTGTGTGTGTGTGTGTGTGTGCGCACACACACCTCTGATCTAGTGATAAAGAGCAGTTATGCTTCAGGACAAGGCAGTACAAAAATGATCTCCCTCTAGCTGCATCTGTTTGTGCTTTTGACTCCGTTTAGATTCACTTCACCAAATAAAAATGTTACTCGTCAGTACCAAAAGGCGAATCTCTTTCATATTTTGTAGAAGACGTTGCCTTTTTTCCCACATCATGACCTTACGGTGACCGTGACCACTGATTTGTGGCCAGAGAATTCAACGCCTCCTCATTACTCCGCTTCTCTGCTGATGCACTTTATAAAGTCTGGACAGATGACAAGTGCTTAAGAAATGGTATTAGTCCTAAATCTGCTGCTGCCGGAGGAGCAGTGATTTGCACTCGGGTTGAGTGTATAACTGCAAAAAGGAAAAAAAAACCTCAAATAAGGAAAAGTAAAAAAATAAAAATAAAAGTAATATCAAATCTACATTCTACTATTTTTAGGTAAATAGAAGTGACTGTGTAAAGTCTACTTCATTTATAACATAAAACAATTGCGTGGGTTTGATTAGAAGGAAATCATTTAGCATTTGATCATTCTGAAATCCCCAACATTCAACCAACAGTTAATTTACTAATGTGTAATGTTTTTAGGACATGACAATAATTCAGACTGGTTCAAATGAATGAGCCTTTGCTGCTGTTGGTGGGTGCGGGCAGTGGTGGCCGGACCTGTCCTCACTCCTCTGTGACTGTGCTACCTGATAGCACAGCTCAGCTCTCAGTGATGACTCACTCTATTTAATGAGTTTTCCTGAAGCTTTTTGTTGCCAGCTATTGAGCACCCTGGAGGGATGGTCATCGTCACATAAGAGATGCAGCTCTATATTCAGTGGCTTCCTGTAGTCACCCCCCCCCCCCTCTTGTAGTGACAGGTGCATCATCATTGCTTTACTGTTTTTGTGATGATTTGCTCTGAATGAGTTGAGTTGAGTGGACTGGAATTGGATTTGAGGGCGATAGCGGTTTGGTGGAAATAGATCATGTTTGGGATTTGTTGTGTAACCACACACACTCTTTAACATCGTAACACACGCACTCTGTTGTTACTCATCGGGTTTTGCTGAGAAGGTTTCTGGAGTTTGTTTCCAAGTAGCAAGATATCAAACTATCCTCCTTGAACAAACAAAAGTTATACTATATTCTTAGGATTCTCTGGATCCAGATCCAGTCAAAAACTGTCTTGTTGATGTAGTAATGTCAGAGGTATGCACTCTCTTTGGGCTTTGAAGTTTTGCATGTGTTCTAATTACACAAACGTTCTATGGGAAACCGGATTTTACGGGAATCAACAAGAAAGCAATGAAAATATACGGGTTAGTTTCTCAGGCTGTACTTACTTTGTCATTTGCACAAAGGAGCAAACATTTGACCATATAAGCAGAAATAATGGTAAAGCTTTCTAATAAAAACGAAGAAAATCAACAATTCAGTTGAGCTGTCCTTTCATTAAATGAGTCGACTCATTTAACGTTGTGTTGAGCATTTTATTTTCCTGTTTTAATGAGAAGCTCGCAAATGATCTGTGATGCAACAGTGCACTGCTGAATGCAATGCATGGTTACAATTAAATTGAATGGGTATACTTTTAATCAAAGCATGTATTGCTTTTTTAAGTTCACGATTAAAAGGTAAAAGATATACATAAACAATTTTACAAAATTTCCAAAATACCCGATCTTAACTCTCCTTGGGAAACGTCCGGGCCCTTTGCAATCCTAGTCTGAAGAGATGTTTGGTTAACACGGTATGATTAATATGACACTTATATTAGACTATTATTTTTAGCTAAGCGTGCCTAATAAACTGGCACATCTGCCTTTTACGCCACTTATTTAGCTCTTATTTAACCAAATCCATCTCCTGAGAATCAGAGTCTGTGAAGCATCCAGGGAATCAACTTGGCTTAGCATCCGCAACCGAATCGATCGACTTATCGACAAACCTGTGTGGCTCAGGTCTGTTTTAGAGGGAGGAGCGGTCCTGAAGCAGCTGGCAGTGGATTTAGCATCACCCACCCCCTGCCTGTCTCCCGTGATACCCAACCTTTTGTTCCATGAACAACGTCGGGACTGATTTACAGTAGATCTTGGCAGCAAAGTCGAGGGAGAGCAGAGGTGGTTCAACCCAAGCCAGATAACTCCCAACAGCTCCTGGATTCATTGAAACCTGCACAGTGAACTATGCATTTTCTCTGTGAGCTTCTACTTCCTCTTCCCTGTGCTGTAATGGCAGGTGTTCCTCGCGTTATCCTCTCAAGCTAAACGTATCATTGGATGCTGATTTAGCCTTTGCTTCTGTTCATTTCCTCTTAGGATTTGAAAGGGCAGCGAGGATTAGAGTAATTCTGAACAAAAAGCGGAACCTAGCGGAGCATGCAGAGGTGACAGCCTTGTTCCCCAGATGAGAATGGAACCATTTGGGGGGGATTAGGAAACCGGTCTATTTCAGAGTGTACGGAACAAAAATTAACTCTCTTGTCTCAAATGAGACTGTTGTTTTGACTTTTGGCCTTATTCACTCACAGCCGATGAGCCTTACCTCTCACTCATGCCCTTATTTGGTGAATAAAGGTCTCACATCCGTGCTGGATTGCCTCGACATGAAAGCAAATACCACGTCAACTCCCGAGAATCCTCCGAAACCAAATTGGTGCCGATGACATCGCCTGACTCTTTTTTTTTTTTTTTTTTATTGTCTGTTTTCCCAAAATAGAAGAGTGAAAAGTGGAGCACGTTCGGTCCTAGATTAAACCTAGCAGCTCTTCTCCCTGCAGGAATAGTGTGTGTGTGGGGGGGGGGGGAGGGGGGGTTTCTGTCCATTTAGCCTTCATTTCCTTCTCACCGTATTTCCTTTGATCCTTTTTACAGGAAAAAATCCCAGAAATGGGATGAGATGAACATCCTGGCCACGTACCATCCGGCTGACAAAGACTACGGTATGATGAAGATCGATGAACCCAGCACACCTTACAACAGGTACTTCTGACAAAATGTCCCCTTTTTGAAGGTTTCAATTCATAAAATTGGATTCGGGTTGAATCACTTTTGCACATATTTTAAATGCTATCTGAAGACATTCATTTACTAGAGGCTTGTAAAACTGTATATCCTTATCTACGCTGAAAAATATTTCCATAGGGAATGCATGTGTAACGCCACAGAATTTACCCTTTAAATGATCGTATAAACAGTTTTGGGTTTTGTGCCAGTTTGGAAGAGTTGAGTGTCTGTCTGTCTGTCTGTCTGTCTGTCTCTCTGTCTGTCTGTGTCTGTGTGTGTGTGTGTGTATATATATCTCAGCAGGTTCGTAATCCAATATGCCAGGGTGCTGCAGGGAAGGTTGACCTTGTCACGGACCTTTCCTCTTTCAGTCTACGTTCTCCCCCCTGTGCTTTGCTACTTCTCTACCCATAATCCCCTCTGGCAACTTGTCTGTTTGGTTATCTGCTCCTGTTTATGTCTGCATTTCCTTGTCCCTTCTCAATCCTCCCTCTCTCTCCCTCCTCGCCTCATTTTGGGCTTATCTTTATTCGGTTAATTGCTCTCTTTCAGGATGGTGGGGGACGAGGATGATGAAGGGGCGCTGAGTGACACGGACGGCCACGGCGGACTCGCAGCTGATGACCTGGCATCGAAGTAAGACATGTGAACGGAGGGAGACGAGTACAAACCAAGTACAGTGGTAGAAAGCAAGCAATGAAATATGATTAGGCTGGCCGCTGTAACAGCTTCATTTCTTTTCTTTGTTTTGTAGTTGCTGGTGCAGTTTGTAGCTTTTTAGATTTTTAATGAAGAAGAAATGTAACCTGGAAAAGGAAGAAAAATCATTTATGCGCTCAGGTGTAGCCCAGATCAGCCACACCTGAACACACTCACCAATGTCCTTGTCCTCAAACAAGAATGTGTTGTAACAATAACTGATAGGTGTGTAGCACACACACACACACACGGGATACAGAAACAGTAAGCACTAGGCAGTACACTCACTCCCAGAATGCACTGTGGTTTGAAAAGTACTCATGGGGACGTGTCCTAATATGATTGTGCATTTATTTGTTCTAACTAAGAAACACACCTGTAAAAAATTAACATATCTCTATTGTGTGCATAACATACACACAAACATTATAAACCACACAGACATGACCCAACCTGTGTTACTGTGTGTTTTTTGTGTTGTTTAAACATCATCTGGTAACAGTTTTCAGTGCAAACTGTGTTCTGAATGTATTGATTTTTATTAATTCCATTATTTTGCTACATACAGAGCATCCTAGAAGGAAAGAAATCTTGATAAGAATTACATTTCCGGGCCGTTTTACAACCACTTGTGTGGAGTGCAAAGGGTCACATAAAAACAAGCACACGGAGAGCAAGAGGGCAAAGTCTTCCTGTATATCTGCCACTCGGAGCTGTTTTCTGGGTGCTAATGGGAGCTTGAGACGTGTGTTTTCTGTGGGCCATCTTATGTAAGTGCATTGATGCAGGGATTGGATGAGCGGGTTTGTGTGTGTGTGTGTGTGTGTGTGTGTGTGCGTGCGTGTGCGTGTGTGTGTGCGTGTGTGTGTGTGCGCGCACGCGCCACAGAGAGGACAGTGATTAGCTCCGGGCTTTGCAAGTCAATTAGCCGCTTTTTTGCATCCTTCCACACAAGAGCGCCTTCCATTGTTTTACACTAAACCCTCCAGATAGTACAACAGCAGCTCTTCTCCCTCCGTCCTCGTGTTCAATCTCTCCAACATGCTCTCTCTGTCTCTTCTCTCATACATCACTTATCCAGCTATGCCGTTCTTCGCTTTACTTCCCTCGTCTCTTAATTCACTGCTTCACTTACACCTTCTTACCTCCTTCCTTCCTGCCGGTCTTTATATCTGCCCGGGATATCGGATACTATTATTGGTGCTTTCTGAAACGGTAGGGAAATTGACTTCTTTCTGGGTGAACCAGGCCAGTTTGTTGGAGAGCAGCAGTACAGTAAACAGGAGCCTCCCCGGGGTAAGTTGCACCAATTGACTACCGTCCGCTGAGCCGTAAACCATTATTCATGTTGTCCTCTGCTGTTACAGCTCTCAGAGTGTGAGAGATGGGGGATAGTAATTCTTACTATTTTTGTCTCATGCTTGAGTACTCGCACATGCTCACATCTCTTCCCTCTCTCCTCCACCGTGCCCTAAAATCTCTCCATAGAAAGCCTTTTTTAGAAGTCTCTCCGCAATGACTTTAGGAGAAGCTATTGGTTATCTCCTGTCTCTATTTGGTCATTTAATAGGCCACTAATTCATATTTCTTGTCTGTTTTTTTTTTTTTTTTTAATCTTTATTTCAAGGTTGGTGGCAGCAGAGAGCTCAGAGCCTCGCTTCATGAAGGAAGAAGAAGTAGAAGAAGAAGACGAGGAGACCAGCGAGGAGGAGGAAGACGAGCTGAGTCCTGAAGAACAAGGTTAACATGGCGATTCTTTTCCTTTTTTTTTTTTTTATGTATTTGTTCACATCCACACCTACTGGTGCCCTCGTTTATCCAGTCTCAGTGTAATATTATTCCTCATATCCCACAGTTCACCTTAATACAAGCTAAGTGTCATCTGCAGCTGGGAGAGTGACGGTCCACAATTAAGTGCTGCTGGAGAGAGATCTGTTTTAGAAAGGGCTCCAGTGTTCTGTGTGTGCGTGTGTGTGGGTGCGCGTGCGTGCGTGCGTCACACACACACACTCTCACTGTGTCAGTATCCTTTTGACTGTTCTCTGACCTTCTATGTACACACACACACACTAGCACACAATCAAACAGGCGCTGCTGTAGAATTTGAACATGCCCGCTTGTTGTTTCACATGTATTTCTGAACTGTGCGAGTAAAAGCAAGAGAACAGTCTGGAAACTGCAAATACAATCGATATACTCCAACTGCAGAGCTCCAGCCACAGTAGTTTTTGGACACAGTTTTCGGCATGGCAACTTGTGCCACCTTCAGGAAAGTGTAAAAATATTGTTTAGAGCTGCAGGTGAAGACATGCTGAGTCAAGTTGAAGAGAATTTAGGAATGTTTCACATACAATATTTTCTCATGTTCAGTCCTTTTCTGCAGTCAACACAAAATACAAGACATATTTTGTGAGCAGATAACGCTGGCCTAGTGGACATATTTATCCAAAGTAACGTAACACTATAATTACTTCAACTACGAGAATAGTAACAACTATTTATCACTTTTGGAGTTGCTGATTTTTGCATACAGACGATGTGTGTCTCAGCCTGGCAGTGCCAAGATAATCCCAAATATGTCGGTGGCACATCACTCACACAGACATAGAGCCCAGCATAAAGTCTGTGGCACACCCTCCTTTTATCCTATTTTAGTTCAACTACCATCCATGTCGAGGTTGCAGCAAGCACTTGGAAGTTATTGTTTACTAAAGTAAGTCTCATCAGTTACGTCACTGTGTCCCATTTGGAGTTTGACCCCTTTTTAAAATACGTTTGTCAGAAACAATAGAAATGGAGAAGATTTTTACTGAGCAACCTGCATGTATGAATGTAGAAGAAATCCGTTGATTATGATGTAAAAATGTTGAATTAGAGCTTTTATCAGTAGTCATAATAGTAGCAATAATGAACCACTCTAAATGCTGCATTCAACCATTGCTTTGGGCCAATTTGAAACGATTTCAATGTTTTCTTCCTCTGCAGCCAAAAAGACGCATTTTCAGATGATGAGGAAGATGCACTACAATGAGGGCATGAACATCAAGCTGGCCCGCCAGCTCATCGCCAGCGAGCTCGAAGAGGACGCAGACGAAGAGATGAGGGACGACACCGAGGAAGTAAAGGAGGACACAGAGGAGACGGAGGAGATCAGCGTTGACCCGCCACAGGAAGGTATGGAGGAGGAGACACGGTGCACAAAGTTAGACGGAACCCATTTTTAATCAGGAATGTTGTTCAGCTTCCCCAGCCACTCTATTTAGTGGATCAAAGTACAAAGAGAGGAAAATAAATATTCCATTTCTATTTGTTCTAGCTCTTCCTGTCTTTCTAGTCTCACGTCTTTCCTGTCTCTTGTTTGTTCTCCAGCTGATTCTCTGGATTCGTAGAGGAGGCTTCTTTCCCCAAATTACAGCCCTTGTGTGTCGGCTCCAGATCGGGACAGACAATGCCACCTGCGCTCTGTGTTTTTTAATGCCGGGCCGCACAGCAGACACCGCTTCACCACTCGTATAACAAACCTCAACAGCCAATAACCTCCCGGTCACCTGTCTCTCTAGACTATTCTTTAGAAACTGTGCAATATAACCTTCAAAACAAACCTGGTTTTTATCTCCCAGAATGCAACACACAAGAGAAGACTGTTGCTCCCTCCTCCTCATCCTCCTCCTCCTCCTCTCCTTTTTGCCAAGAATGTCCCCCTCCTACCTCCTCTGGACTGGCATCGCACTGAAGGATATGTGATTCTGACCCTGAAAGGAGGATCAAGGTCCGTTAGAAAAAAACAAACAGCCGGATACCAGGCCCCCCGTCTGGCCACTCTACAGTCCTTCTGTACGTGAGCCCTGGAGAAAACCAGGGGAAACCCCACCGAAGGCATATCTGAGACGTAACAACAGCGATTTTACTGGGTGCTCTTCAGGTGGCTTTTACTTCTACTTTTGCTTTGTGACTCACCACTCTGTTGCATTTTCTTTCCTCCTTCAGTACTTTTTGTGATTTAAAAAAAAAAAAAAATTGGGACACTGTGATGACCAGTTGGGTTGTCACCTTTGTTTTACCTTGTGATTCAGGTACGCCATTCATATTGGCATACTGGTGTTATGATCATTTAGGAGCTATATATTAGTCTCTAATAGCACAAGACAACATGACCTACATCATCTAAACGTAATTATAAAGAACCATCCACATTTGACATCATACAGTACATACTTAATATATAACATATTTAATACACACGTGTGCTGTGGTGTCTCACTTTGATGCTTGCAGTCAATTGTATGGCTTTTTGCTTAAGATCAATTAAAACAACAAAGACCATCATTAATATATATTTGCAATTTGCTGATTTTTTTCCCCCAGAACTTTTTATTTACTTCTCTCTTTGCAAGCAAGCACAGCAAACCTCAATTACAATTCTGGCATTTTAAAAAAACAAACACGTATACCTCATAGAACCAGACGATAGGCCTTTTTTTTCCAAAATGAAATCCACTGATACATTTGGCATGTAGGTCGTCTATCGACGGTATTGAAGTCCTACATGTGAGGTACAGCTTGTGCTACTGATTAACAGCACAGCGCTCCGTCTTTAAGCTCTGATGTAGGGTTTGACAAAGAAGAAACCAGCTCTTACATGATTTGTTTAGTTGACTTCTTACTGCACGGGAGCTTCACCAGACAGAATTGTGTGTAATATTATTCGAGGAAGGTACATTCATCTACTTGGTGTTTCATTTCTCACCTGGCTTCATCACATTTTAATTTACGACGCAGCTTGGGAATGTCAAAGAGAAGTTATTGATGCTACTGACTTTAGTTAAAGCAGATGTTGCCAGCGGAGTTCACCACTAAGGCTTATTGGAGTTTTTTTGTAACAGCTGGAGTTCCTACAGGTGTCGACAAAGTCTTAAATTGTTGCATTTGACAAAAGTATTGAGGGGTAAAAAAAAGACAATGATCCTGGTGGCACGCATGGAGTTGTTGGTGGTCAGTTTCTGAGGGGATTCTTACTTTTACTATGATTGAGCTATACACTGTATGACTTCACTAGAACCGAACAATTTGAGGGATACGTATGGAGGAACCCTGAGTGTGTCTTGTGTTCTCTTCATTTTCTTCTGACCCTTTAATTACTCACTGTGGTTGAAAGTGTTGAGCTCTTTTTTTTTAAAAAAAAAAAAAAAAAAAAAAAAAAATGGAAATACAAAAGTTCATATAAAGTCCACAGACCAACAGTGTGTCTTCTGCAAACGTCCCTTTGCAGTTCGTTTTGTTCTCGGTAGTTTAGTATTTGGTGGTGTTATGTTTTTTTTTTGCCATTATTGAAGTTAAAGCAACTTCCTTTTGGCCATTTCCACTAATCAACAAGTTCACATCCGAGCAGTTAATCATCACATGGTTATTGTAGAGATACAGGTGTATGTCTGGAAATACAGATGCTGACGATACCGTCGTCTTCTATTCTGTTCACTGAATTCGTGGGCAGATGACAGACGGCGGCAGAGAAGCTGAGATGTTCGGTTTATGTTCTCACAAATGATCTGCCCTGTAGGTGGTTATTACCTGTCAAATGTGCCTCTTATGTATTTATGTACATGTGTGTAAAATGAACAGGCTATACTCCGTGTTACCGTTTTACTTTCACCTCGCGTGTCCTCCGACTCGCTTTTTGTTACTGCACCACGTCTGCCCTGTTTGGTTTGTTTTCTAAGAACGACAGACTGTTGAACACTATGTGTCTGTCTCAGTTATTTCCAGTTGAAGCATGTCCTTAATCATTGGATTGTGTGTATTCTGTTTTGTTTTTGTCTCCTACCATTAAACAAATGTTGTTATGAACTCGTATCTGCTGTGGCCTATGATTGATCTGAAGAGTCGGGTGCCTAAAAGTTGAATGATGCAGAAAATTGCTGACTGTCTGGTTAAATCCTCTGAAGGAGTTACAGCTTTCCTCCTCACGCAAACAACAAACGTTCTCTTGTTCACTGACGAATATCACAAGGTGAGCGCAACCTCCGGTCTGTCATCATGTGCCAAACGGTAACAAAAACAATATCCAGATTATTGATCACAGCTTTATCCAATTTATCATCTATCTTGGCAGTGATTCGAAAAGTACCTCTTTATTCAGAAATATACAATTACAAAATGGTCATATGCACCATTAAAATGTCTTTTATTTTGACTTAAACTTAAATGTGTTTTATTACAAAGTATAGAAATTAAGTTTCAAAGATTTGAAACGTTGTAGTATTCCATCACAACAACACCAGGCCCATCTTTACTTTAAAAGTAACATCATGCTCATCACTAATGTTAGTGAAGATTAATAACAACAAACATGTAACTCTGCCATCAATAAAGCCAGATGATATTCCCCGTGCTGGTTACTATATGTTAAACATGTTTCAAGCCTCTGCTTTTTGTTTTACATCCTATTATGGGAATGAATGGAAATGTTATTAAGTGCCAGTAGTCTACCTCACAATTACAAGTATAGGCTACTGGAGTAAAAACATTGTCCACTTAGTTTGGACATTGCATAAAATAATTATATATACATTTGAATACACACTCGTTGAGGTACTCTTTAAAATGACAGTGCTCCTCTCTAACCACCAGGTGGCGCTGTAACACAATGTATCTGCCAATCCCGTTGGGTTTCTAGTAATTCTAATGGGATCAAACAGGAAACTGTGTTAGCAGGGATTATCCTACATGTTTGGTGTTGAGTGGGTTTAAAGATGAGAATGAAAGCACATTCTAGTGTTTCAGTCAACTGCAAAACAGCGTTTTAACGCAAGTGGACGAGAGACTTGAATAAAATGTCGTGTTTTACCTATTCGTCTTGTTAAAGTGTTTAGTGTGTGAATAATTTGTAGGTGAGGAGTTATTTAATCTTCAATGTAAAGTACGGTGGAGTAAGAGAGGAGGAGGCCGTCCACTGACACAAAGATCGTGCAGAAACACACAGAGGCATCACTCTGGTTTAGTTTGCGTCTTTATTATTATTATTGTGTTGACACTTTGCTAGCAATGGATTACAGGATTTGTTTTTATTTCCTTGAATTGGAAAGAAAACAGATTTATGTTACAGGGCTCTTCTGATAAACTCTGGAAGATGTAGCTCCTATTCAATAGACAGACAGACAGACAGACAGACAGAGAGAGAGAGAGAGAGAGAGAGAGAGAGAGAGAGAGAGAGAGAGACACACACAGACAGGTAGATAGATAGACACTTTATTAATCCCGCAAGGGGAAATTTGTTCGCTACAGCAGCATTATGATACAGGTAAGCAATCAAAGTAACAGTAAAAATAAAAAAACATTGAGAATAAAAATGCAAAATATATACAATAAAAAAAATATTAAATATAAAAAAATGCACAATAGGAGTGGAAATCCAGAGGCACTTGCTGGTCCTGTATGTTTTCCCCTTTTTATCATTGTTCTCATTATTATTTTGTACAATGGCTGATAGCGACAGCCATTCCCGTTTTCCTGAACAGGATCACAGAAATCGAGCGCATGCGCTGTGGATAGTGAACCATCTGTCCCCAGCATAGACGATCTGTGAGTGAGGCAGTCGTCTCTGCGTGGAAGAACAGATCCTCTCCCACTGGCTGCTATGACCTGAGCTACCGGACGACACGTCTCTGCTCTCCGGACTGACCGCTGCTGCCTCGAAGACTTTCGTTGTTGCGCTTTTTTGTTTTTGTTGTTGTTATTGTAGCAACTCTACATTCAACACACACACACACACACACACACACACACACAGACACACACACACACAGTCGTTTATGGTTGCATTGCCACGACTCTTTGTAACCGTAGCTGCTGGCCTCTGAGGCTAGCAGTGACAGAGTGGAGCCAGCTGGTCGGACAGCGGTACAGTAGCGTTAGCACAACAAGCTAATTAACCGGAAACACTTGAGCCTGGATTACTGCCTTTAATCAAAGAGAGTCTGCGGGTTTTACTCACTGCGGTCACAATGAAGATAACTGTGGATTTCGAGGAATGTTTGAAGGACTCTCCAAGATTCAGGTGAGTGGTCGCTTTAGTCCTGGTTAGTGGTGATTTATGTATCACAAGAGGAAAGTATCAGTGAATTTAGCTGCCTGCTAACTAAAGCTAATCATGATTAACTAGCTCTCTGTTTGCTGCATGCCTCTTTTTCTATTTGTGTCTCTCAGAGAGCCATAAACTCACTGACCGGTGAGGCACACACGAGCAGGAGCAAGCTGGTGCTGGTTTATTGTGTATAAATTATGTATATTATGTATGTATATTAAAAATGAATGCTGGAAGACACAGTCTGTGCCATTAACCTTAATTTGGCATTGTTTAAAAAGTCAAGCATACAGTATGAGAGTGTGCAGTACTTCACACTGTGCCATGCTTTCTTATTTAACTGGATTTAAGTGAAATTACAGAGAAAAAAAAGTTAATATTTTGCAGCTATACACAGAATCTGTTGACATGCATCCACACAGAAACAGAGTGATGTTAATCTGTGATAATAGTTTGATTTAATATAAGTATTTGAGCATATTTTCTGAGAAATTTGAGTAAGCATGTTCTTGCTTTCACCAATTTAGGCAATTGAGTATTACAATATCTGAATATATGATTTAATTATGACACGATTATATTGAAAGACCATAAATTATCATATTGAATTATCATCCAGCCCTCTACTGTAACTACATATGCTGCAACTAATAATTATTTTCATCATCCTCCAGTTATTATCTCAATTAGTCGGTTAATTGTTTGGCCCATAAAATGTCAGCAGATGGTAGAAAAACAGATTCCCAAAGCCCAAGTTGACACATTGTGAAAGTCTCAACAACCCGAAACAATTAAGATTCATATTGTTGAAGATTCAGTAAAATGTCACATTTAAGAAGATGAAACCATTTGTTTTTGGCATATTCGCTGAAAACGCTGACTTTGTTAATAACCTTTCAGTGCATTGACCCCTCATGGATGGTTTAAGCAGTACCGGGCTTACACTTCTTCTCCCACCAGCCACATTAAGTGGAACATCTTTAAACTCATCATCCATTTTAAGTATCTGCATGAAGTGAATAATGGCCGAGTCCACTTAAAAGTGTAAAGCGAGCTCTCGTGTGTTCATGTGACGTATTCCTGGCGGCACTGTTGCTTCTAACATCACTCACAACAACTTCTTCTTCTTTTTTTTTAATCCCGCGAGCTTTAAAAGCTGTGAAAATGTTCTGTTGGCTCTCCACTTCCTTTCTCACTCACTCTGCGTTTTACAGAGATGTGAGAAAGCGCCTCTTTCCTCCCACAGCTCCCATTCGCTAATGCTGCAACATCCTCTCTCTCTCAAAAAAACAACAACAACGAGGAACAGATGTTAACATTCGGAGGTTTGAATGAAGGGAAACGTCCCAGTCAGCTGTGTTGCTTGAATCTGGCTGGTCTAACGCTCTGGTGACTTACATCCCACGTGTGTCACCAACACTGCAGACAGTTAGAAGTCGTGTGTGTCAATGATAGGCAGTTTATCAACAAAGCAAAGCAAAGGAAACTGCTCTGATGTGGGGAACATACAATGTTTGTCTGAAGTAAACACATGTCATAGTTGCTATAACTTCAGCTTACAGATGTAGGTTCTGTTGGGGAAAATATGGTTAAATTTCCCATGATCCTCTGCAGCCAGGAGTCCAGCTAGCTCCATCTCTATCTATATTTTTTTAGTGCTCTTTGTCCTTTTACGAGAGTCATCGCTCAACATTTCCCTAAATGTAAATCCACTGTGGGCTCATCCTGACGCGTTGGGACTGATCTTTGCAGTGTTCCACTTCGACCACCATCGCTTCACTCTTATCCCCCCCATGTTATGTTTGGCCAGAGAGGAGGACATGGCGAGTGAGAAAGAAAGAATGGATGAAAACACGGATATACACACCAGTGTGTGTGGAGCTGCCTCTCACTCGCTCAACATCTGTTTCCATTTTAGTGTTTTGCTTTCAACTTTGTGCCAGAGAATATGAAGCCCCCAAATGTGGAGAGGGTTGTTTTTTCAAGTGGTAATTTGGCACACCCTACATCTTTTTTGCTCTCATCTTGATTTTAGTTTGGAAGTTGTCTTGCTTTCAGCCCGGAGGAGAGACGCACGAGTGCAAAACTGATGTGTTTTTGGCAGTAAAACCCTGGTAGCCTAGTTTTCCACTTGAAAATCGACATTAGACTCTGTCTCCTCTTCAACTATGAGAGTCGAACATTCCCTTCAGTGGGCCGTGGCTTTCCCCCACATGTATATGAGTAAATATTTTACATATTTAATAAGATTTCTTATCCTGCAAGGTCCCAAAGGAGGCTAACTTTTGCGATTAGAAAATAAAACATCGTAAGAGCAGGATGGATATATACTGTATACCTAGTAGACATGAACTGACTAAAAGTGAGCTTATTTCTGTAATAAAAAGCAACCTTCCTCACCCGCTTCTCAATCGTGAGAACATGATTGCTGGCTCCTGATTGGTTTAGCTGACTCTGAGCTTGGTGGAGGGCCATTGTATGAAGTCATCGGTTGAACCTCCCCGGTTGCAGCTTCCTCTGAGTCATGGCCGGCAGCTGTAGAGCGGGCAGATAACCGTCAGTCTTCTGTAACACAGAACCTTCTGCCTGAAGAGGAGCTCTGGTCCCTCATTAGCTTCCTGTGGGAGTCCAGCTGAAGGCTCGTTAGCACGCTCAGCTCGTTGAAGTCTGATTTAATTGAGCTGCGGTTCGTTTTCCTTTAATTAACAAAGGGCATTAACGGCTAATTAAATGTCATGACTGACTGCACTGGTAGGGCTTGATACAGTTGTGTTTCATTAAGTATGGGGCAGCAAAGTGAATAAAACAGAAATGGTTATTTTTACACCAACTTCTGACATTTGAAGGCTAAACGATTAATCAATTATTTAAGAAAATAAGCAGTAGATGAATCAAAAACGAAAATAATGAAAGTCGTTTCTCCCGTTCTTAATTGTTGATAAAGTTTCCTTCTTACAACTTATGTAAGACATATGGAAGGCTGAGGATGCTTCACTAGAGTCTGTGTAACCGTCTATCTTTAAGTAATGACCTCATCTTGTTGATGTTGAGGCTTGTGCGTGTAATGGTGGGTTTTTACCACAGCAGGACGCCCCCCCACCTCGCTGTCTAACAATTACAGGATCTACGTCACAGCACAGCACTGAAGCTCACCCCATTCTTCACATTTCCATCCACAGCGACAGATTCAAAGTGTTTACCACCACTGTCATTTCAGTCCAGTGGAATAAACTTTATTCGTTCCCTCATTGCAGACACAAGAATGTAAATTATAAAACAGCAAACCCCATGTGTAATCTTCTTTCTATTAAACATTGTTGAAGGCAGAGGCAACAGAGGGAAGAAGAGATGGCAAAAAACACCACTGGACACAAAGCTATACGAAATATAATTAGAAAACATCAAAGGGAAGTTCAGCTGTCAGACGTCTTAATTGGATTAGTTCTAGTCATTGTGAAAGTAAGCCTGCTTTGAGCTTACAGTGGAATTTGGAGCTGTATTACGTAGGAGAATATGAATATGGGATTAGGCTCTATGTTGGCAGATACTTAACACTAAATGACTCAGTTTGGGACTGGAGCAAAAAAAAAGAAGTTCATTATCTGTTAATCTGCCCGTTATTGAATCGATTCATCTTTTGGTTCAGACCAAAGAAGAGAAATGCAGATGTTGCATGATGGAAACTGATGTTCAGTCGGACCAGTGAGTGCAGAAACTCTGCATTAGCACATATCTGCCAATTTTGAGGACAGTGAAAATATGCGGAGAGAGCAGATGGCCTTGGAGAGTTCATGCCTTTTGAAGTGCAGGTGTGTGTGCCACCGGCCCCCAGAAGTCTCTGTTGTGTGTGCAGCGTGAACGTCAAACCTGTTTAACTACCTCAGTGCTGCTGGCCCGCTGCCAACAGCCACACACACACACACACACACACACGTTTTGTTTTGGTTCATGGTCACTGAATCACTGTAAAATAATTAGGTGTCTCTGTTTTTAGAGAAGATGTTGCTAGTCAGAGCTCTCAGTAACATGTGGAGGGCGAGCAGCACCGAAAGGATCGAAGGCTTTGTCGTTGTTGCAGTGGGACACTTTTTAGTCACCCGCTTCTGAAATAACACATTTAATGGAGATGTTTTCCCAATAATGTAAACTTTATACACTGTACATCATCTAGAGCTGATTAGATTCAGCTCTTGATAGGTTACCAGGTTGAATGTTGAATAATGTAAATAAGGCAGAGTGACCGATTCAAATACTGACTGCTAATTACATTCAAAGTTACATTTTATTCACCGGACCAATCTAATGCAAAGCTGGCTTCTCTTCTGGACATACAGTCGTGTGCACATCTGTCTGGCTTACGTTGTGGATCAGCGTCTCTTTGCGTGATCTTGGTCAACTTAAAGTGAAGTAGGACCCAAACATTCCCTCAGTGACGCTGAGTCGGCGTCTTTCTCACTGATGTGGTTTACATAGTAAGCTTTTTCTTCTTCCTCTTCTCTTCATGTGATTCATACTGCACGTCTCTTTATTTAGTCTCAGGCTCACACCCAAACAGCACTTAGACCAGGACGTCTGAGTTTCATAATTTATATCGTTCCATTTCGTGAAGAAGCGAGTAATCACATGTTGCTGTTTCCTTTTTACTTTCCTGCTCTCTCAGCTGTAAAGGTCAACACATGTGGTGGATATCATTTCTCTTTGGTGCTGAATGAGTAAAATGTAAAGCTACTAACTCTGAATCATTTACTTCTTTAATACAGTTTGATCACGCAAGTTGAAAGTGTTGGTGGACAACAACAGGTCCCTAAAACTCTATCCAAAACATTTGAAATAAGAGGTATAGCCTAATGTGACATGTTCTGACTGTTGTCTGGTTTATTTAATCCAATGACGGTGAGATTGTCTACTGATACAATCTTCACATGAAGTCCTCCTTACAGCTGCCGCCTCATTGTAGTTTACAGAAATCGGATACGAGACGTTTGGCCAGCAGCTCTCTGCACTGAGAGCAGAATACCTGCATCGTCCTGTGTGCGTTATCACACGAGTGCTGCTGAGAGACGCAAGCCTATTGATGCCACGATGCAGACAACACTGCATCACTATACTGAGAATGTGGACTTTGTCTGTATTTTCTAGAAAACAAAGAGGTCATTTTCAAAGAAAGATGTAGTTTGTAATGTTTACAACCTGCCATGATGTTGCTCATCCATTACCCTCTCCCATAAGTATTTAGTTGCACTCCTCTTAGAGCTGACCATTAAACCCTATTCTGTAGTTTACACTCTTCATTATAATACTTTGAGAATTTGGAATTAAGAGATTCAAACCATGTGATTTCCTTTTTTTTTATGTGCTTCCTTGTGCAATGACTGAAGGACCCTTTAGCTCTGTGTCACTTGGTGGGTAGAGTGCCAATGCTTCTCAAACTAAAATGCACATATGTGTTTTAAACATCTTTGGGTAACGGCATTGATATAATACATTTTATACCAAGAGAGTTATAGTTCATAGACCTGGGCAGCAGATCACAGGGCTCTTGGGTAGTTCACAGTTCAACATGCAGTTGCCGTGGTGTTATCTGTGTACTTTGGTGTTCTCATAACTGCCATATGCCTGAAAGCTAGGCTAGGTATAATAAACTACTGACGTACTCTAGCCATAAAGAAAAGTGACCCACATGCTCTATGTTCGGTCCTGGAGGAAGGCTATGCAACGCCGGCACTATTCTTTGAAATTTCATCAGTGTTTACCTTTTTCAAAATAGATGGAGAGACATTTCAGATGAATTGTGTGATTATCCCAAATGGGACGAATCAGACGATTCATTTTTCACACCGATGCTCACAACCAGACTACCTAGCCTGTGTGTGTCCCGTTCTCTCCAGCTTTCTTCTGCTGCTCATTATCCACACTCACGCTGGACGCACTCCGAGCTGTGAGGCAATGGCCCAGATTTTCGTTGTGCCGGGGCCCCTTCTGTTCTTATCCTCCGTCAGCACTTTCACAAGTTCACCCTGCAGGCTCAGTTTACGAGATTAGAAGGACGTGGTCATGTTCTCGTGATCGCACAGAAAGCCAGAGAGCGACCGACTGACACAAGATCGAGATCTGATTTCCAAGGCAAAGATTTCTAAACCATGAGGTTGATTTTCCGGGAAAGGTGGCTGAGTGTGCCTGACCTCTTCCGGGCCATCCTGCCTTCCATTCAGTCACTTTCACACATTCAGAGCTGGGAGCTGTTGTTTGTCTCTGAGCAGCTCTACCTGAGGAAGTATGGTCAAGTGCTTTCATCAAAGACGAAGCAAAAGGTGTTGTTGAGAGAATAAAGAGTATTCATACATTTAAAATCTTACAGAATCTGCTTACAGCATGTATTTTTATATATATTGATAATTTCATCTGATTGCATCGTGCCCATGCTTCAATTCCTCAATCATAGAGCTTTTATTGGATTAGTTATTGAAGATATTTTGTGGTGGCTTTTGTGTCCATACACATCCTTCATATGCAATTATCCGCTGATGGGTTTTCTTAAGATCACATCCAAATCTTCCAGGGAAGACAAATCTGGTTGTTGGCTGCTCTGTGAAAGCTTCGGCCCGTCCTCTGGTCATCTTACTACACTGTCTCTACTGTATTCATACCAGCAACATGCCCAGTAGATGCATTTAAGAATGGGCCAAATCCTCAGACACTAGAGCCGGTCCTCATCTGGGTGATTCTTTAAAGAAATGGACTTTGCCTGAAGCGACTGACAAAGGCAAACAGGGCCTGGACCATGTTCTTTAGCTGGTGACCAGGATTAATGTCTCTTTAAAAGAGGCAAGCTCTTTATTGCTTCTGACCCCCTTTCGCTCCTCCGTATCTACTTAAGCTCTCAGTTCATTCCCCTGTGTTTGGGTTAACAAAATGTCCTAACTCTACAGTGATGCTCGCTGACACACGGTTGCCATGTTGCAAGCATTTCTTGTAAACCAGGTTTGTTGCATTATAAAGCACAGAAGATATAATGCATTGAATACACTGATGCCATTGCACGGTGTTCAAGTTTACGTTGGTATGTATTAATCCGAGTACACAAGATGAGTTTTGTCATACAGTGCATCCTTTATGCAGTGTAGACTTAGCACGTCAGGGACCAGCGTGAAACATATTTGACCGAACTGAGCATGTCTGTGTCTGCAGGCTTGGTTCTGGCATGTCCTAGTTTCAACTTGCTGAGTGAGTGGCGTCCTGTGCATGCTTTACTGATTATTTAACCTGCACTTAGCTGCAACACCACGTTCTGTTCTTCTTCTGGTAGCGTAGCCAGCATGTGAACATCATAATGGATCCATGTCAACCGTGGTAACCAACAATTAACCAGGCAGCAGGGCTTGAGCTCAGATTCTTGGTCAGGGACTTAAGGATACTTGGCTTTTCACCAACATCAGCATTCTGCCTGATCTTTACCTTGGTTTCATCGAACATATTGGTGTTTCCTTTTAGTGTAGAGACCTCTATCTTGTGCTCAGTCTTTACTTGTAGCCGTTATGTTCTGTAGAAGGAGGGTATCCAGATGTTTGAAGGCTGCACAGCCTTGTTACTTGCTGATGAAGCACACATGTTAACGTGACAAAAGCTGATCCTATCTGATCTGGAGCAGTACTTTACTTTACGACCTTCTTCATGAAAACACAACAAACTCCAAGCTCAGACGGTATGCATTGAAGGATGAAGAAAATGATACAGCTGGATGAACCCCTAACCCTTATACAGTAAGAAAGATTCCGTACATGTACACAGGAATCCTTGATTCCAGTATATTTTGTTGAGCTAGCTCAGTCTGCCTCTTGTTCTTCCCCTGACGGTGACCAGATGTTGACAGCTGTCAGTGTGACACCATATGGAAGAACAAACAGCTGGAGGGGTTTTGGGGAATGCCCCCTGCTGCTACTGCCGGGTCTCTCTGTTAATCCCTTTGCTATATACTGACACTCGCACACACTCTCTCACAGTCCTGCATGACATCTTGTGTTTTCCCTCAAATATAAACAATGGCATTTACATTTAAGCGTTAATTAACACTCTATATCCAGCGATACAGCATAATAACCCTAAAAACTAATTTGTTTTAAACTTCTCCTTCTGTAGATTATTATTGCTAGATTGTTGTAAATGTGAGTCTGATTGGGGCACAGAATATTATATATTCCTTGAGCACTGAAAGGTGGAGGAAGGTCACACGGTAACACGTTTCGCTGCATAGATTATTATCAAAAATGATTAATTCACCAAAGCCTGTGACGATCGCTTCTTCTTCTTCCCCCGTCGTGGCGCTCGCTCACTCGTAGGCTGTTGATCCCGTGGAGAGCCGAGCTGTGCTCTGTCACAGTTTAAGGGGCAGATTGCCAGACCCGACTCAAAGCCCCGTGGCATTACCCAAAATGGCAGCTCTGTTTGGCTGCCTCTAATGGTGTGTGTGTGTGTGTGTGTGTGTGTTTCTGTGCATGGTCGTGTCAGTACACCGTGGAAGTGTATAGTATCATGTTTTGTAGTTTTTCAGAGGCTGTAATTGTAGAAAATGGGCTTCTTGGTGGAATTGAACTGTTAGATTTATCTTGAAGTACCCCCTGTATATAAATGGTACAGATGTTGTCAATGCCGAAGTGCCTTGAACTGGCATTCTTTCAAATGTTAAGCAGGGGGCGACTCCTCTGGTTGTGTAGAAGTCTATGAGAAAATGACTCTACTTCTCACTGGATTTATTACTTCAGTAAACATTGTAAACATGGGTTTATGGTCTCAATTGCAAGTCTTCTTCAATACAGCGTGATGTTCATTTAGTAAATTAAGGTCCATTTAGAGTAAAATAGATGATAAAGCATCTTACAACATTAACCCTTTCACAGTTCATGAAAGTTAATTGCAACCTTTTTGGTGCACAAAAAAAAAAAATCATATTCGGTTGTACTTGGCTCGAACAGCTTCTGGTTGCAAAAAAACTAAATTCTGACGACCAAAAACATAGCTGATGACGGCCAAATGTCAAACCCGGGGCTTCAAAACAGCAGTCCACAAACCAACGGATGATGTCATGGTGACTATACGACCAGCCTCTAATATAGAGTCTGTGGTCTGTGGTCTGTGGTCTGTGTACAGTGACCAGCAGGACAAATGGTGAATGTGAAAATGGTAATAACGCAGCAAGGACTGTAACCCAAAGTGGAACAGAGCGACTTCATGTCCTCTACGTGAGGGTTCCCTTGCAGTGTCTTTTTTGTCTTCCGTTCACCATCGAGCATATGAATGCCCCTCAGTGTCGGTGAAGTTGATAGTATTGAGTCATTGTCACACTTGATTTCCAATGCCTTTCTCTTTTTCTTTCCCCACAGAGCGACCATAGAGGAAGTGGAGGGGGATGTGTGCGAGTTGGAGTCCAAGCTCGACAAAGTGAGTAACATCGCTGAGTGTGAACCGTCCCCAGTATATCCCCCGGCCTTTACATAAGACTCTAATATCGACTCTGTGCACCTCGCTTTCACTTTAATGAAATGTGTGGCTGTGTGTGAAGTATATGAAGAAACACACCCTGTAGTACAGTATGCGCTTCTATGATTCTTAAACATCATGACCGACTCAGTTCATCTGTGCCTGATTAATTCACTTTATCATTTATATATTATTTATTTATTGCTGACTCTCCATGTTTGTTTAGTTTAGTTTATGTATTCTTTAAATAAATGTGCTTATTTATTACTTTTAACTTGTCTGGTCTCCCGTTTATGTTGCAGCCTTTGAGCCGGTTATAACACTTCATCTTTTTCGCTAACAATGACATTTTATTCATCAAAATCAAAAAAATGGTGACTGAATCTGTTCTGGCAACAGCATTTGTAACACATAGTATGACCGTACGGATGATTAACTTTTGTTTGCCATCTATAGTTTGATTTGCTCAACATTTTAGCGTCTTTCTTTTATGTCAGACTTTCTAAGTAACATATTGTTTCCTGTTGCTGGTTCAGACTATTCTGCTGAAGTTAACTAGACTACATGTATAAACCAAACGAACAAACTAGTTTTAATCAGAAGTTGTGTCCGGCCCTGAGAGCAAACCCAGTGGGTCCCCCACAGAGCTGAGAGTATGTTGACCAGCTGAGGGCGAGACCTCGAGCTGGGAAGATCCCAGTTCATTGTTTCTGGACTTCAAGTCTCACAGAGTCCCACCCTCCTCCTCCTCCTCCTCCTCACCCCACCTCTGTGACTTAGCCCCGGCCTCACTTCCCCTCTTGCTTGCGAGAGGAAGGAGAGTGGGTGTTTTTGTGTGCGTAAGGCTGTGATAGTGTGTGTGTGTGTGTGTGTGTCCGAGTGTGTACGTGTTAATGCTCCGGGTCGAGTGGAAAGGGGCTAATGACACCAGAGTTCAACTTTTCCTTTGAGCGTCCTACCTGCCAGACATGTTCATACACATATTGCCAAAAGTAAACAGACTTTGAACTGAGCCAATAGTATATCCGCTCATAAAAAGGGCGTTTTCCTAACCGAATGGAGTCTGTAACAGTAGTTAGCTGTTGTCTTTTAGCCGAGGCTTCGGATGTTCTTACAGTTTGGGTTGGAATTCAAACTCGTAAAAGAGGAAAATGAAAATGTAAATCAAACCTTCATGATGTTGAAATGTTTTAGAAACGTCCTGTTTCAACTGTATGAATATTTTAGAGGCAGACGGACAAAAAGAAAGACACAATACAACTCTTATGTAAAGGAGATCCTTTAAGAAACACAGATTATGATGATTAGTGTGAGTGGGGGGGTGTTTAAGGATTACCATCCTCCTGATGCAGGTCACTGTTAGTCACCTTTTACCTTCTGGCCGTTGCTACCAATACTGTTATATGTTTAAGACTGAATTCTTTTGTTTTTCAAATATGAAATATCTGTTATGTTTTAGAAATAAAATACCACATTCTGAATCCAAAATTATTTAGATTAGTTTAATATAGTTTATGAGTCGTTTGTGTTTTATTTCATTTCTGATTCAAATCCCTAATTTACTTGAGTTTTGCTGCAAAATATCAACGTCAGTTTTGTATTCTATCAGTTTTTTAATGTATTAATAACTCGGTAATCTAGGAAACTGCTTAAAATGAGCATGTTTGCTTGTGCTGCAGAGGCACATTCAGGCTCTGTGTCATCTCCTGTGTAGGCGTGGATGGAGAGCGGCCAGCAGTTGTTGTGAATTCAGTTTACATAACCTGGAATTATCTTTGCCCCCGATGAGTCGGAGGGGGAAGAAGTGCCTGTTGCTAATTACCAAGAAGCGGACTGAGCATCAGTGTTGGCCCTTCGCTCTGCAGCAACACATTCCAGCAAATGTACAGCTTCTGAATCCATATTTAGCAGCAAGCTTCAAATGTTGTTAACTAGAGAGAATGTCCTGAAGAGATGACCTGCGCGGTTTCTAGTTTCTCTTCACTTAAGTTTTTATCATCTTCTGTCTATTGCTGCATTACGTCATTTTTCTCTCTTATTTTTTACCCCTAAGCGTTTGCCTCGTTCTCGTTCTCTCTCTAGTTGGTGAAGTTATGCATTGGGATGATAGATGCGGGCAAAGCCTACAATGCAGCCAACAAGCAGTTTGTGACCGGGATCCGGGAGCTAGCCCAGCAGTCCACCAAAGATGAGGTCATCGAGGTAAACAAAGAACAACCAACATTACTTCTATTTCATTGTTTTGTTTTTTTTTTCGTTTCTTTTTGGCCTTTATGGAGTCGAGCCTCTTCTGACATTTTCTACAATTGTTAGTTATTTAATATGATTTTAAGTTGTTTAATAATAGTAAAATAAAAACTAGTCATATAGTTAAAATCAGCACCGTGTAAAGCCATGGCTGACTTATTCCCGTCATAAAGAGGACTGAACATCCTCTCTGTTAGCATGCACTTCCTTCTTCTTGTCTCTTTTGAGCAACATGTTTTCATCCTCTCATGACATTACCGTACTATATCTAAATATAAAAAAAACCTTGCACTGTCCACTGGGTCTTGCCGAGGTCAGATGTTTTGTTTTCTCGCATGAGTTTTGTGAGGCAAGCACTTCCTCTCTGCCTTTGTCTCTTTCCCTCAATGCCTCTCCTTTCGGTTTGAAGTTCAGCCACTGCATGCATTTGAAGGGAGTAACTTTGCCAAAACAATTCTTTCCCAGCGTGTTATTGTGTCTCCAAAAAGACCACAGTTTCTGTGTAGAGTATTGCATCTTATTTTGTTTTAATACAGGCCTTGCTTTATTAGTTGACTTTGTGTGTTGTTGTTATAAGAATATATGTTGACGTTCTCCCTCTGTCCTCTTCTCTCCACAGTCCAGTCTCACTAAATTTGCCGAGAGCCTGCAGGAGATGATCAACTATCACACGGTATGCTTTCACTGCCATGTGAAACTCAATATATATTCTCATTATTTTTTTTACCCCACCGCTACGGCTGGGTGATGACAAAACTCAGCTGGGCTGACAGTCTGGAACTCTAACTGTCAGAGTTTTTATTTATTTACAGCAGCAGACTACAAGAGAGAGACTTGAGGTCTGTGAGAGGATGGCCACTGGTTTGAGAGGTTTAGCAATAATGTTCTGGTGTCCTTGAGCAAGACATTACCGTTCAACTGATAAGAAAGTGGCTTTAACACGCAGCTTCCAGGTTGGATTTGCAAACATAATCCTCTATAAAAAGTGTTTAAAGGGAAACCTTTTGGGTCAGAGGCGTGAAACCCCCTTTTTTTACTTGAATCTGTTCTTAAATGTCAACATAGCTATGGGGTTTCTTGTCATAAAAATCCTCAAAAGTTACTACTTCTCCCAGCATATAAAGTCCCTGGTAAAGAGAGAGAGGGGTTTCCTGTCTCATAAAACTCATTCCCTGCCTCCCATGTTGTGGAATCTGTTGGAATAAATCATGCGTTACTGCAGTAAACTTGGTCACGGTCAATCTTTTACGATGTGGTTGGCATCCTGTTAAAAATAACTGCTCTGCACCTTCCCTACCTGACGATATTACGGCTGCAACTAGCAATACCGCCTGTTGTGGAGCAAAGTAGGTTAAAGGCACTTTACAATGTGGCTGGCACCCTGGAGACAGCTGAACTACAAGAAGAACCGTTCGTCAGAGCAATATAAGTATGCTTTTTGGCTTGACATGACCATCTAAAGCTTCCACTTCCCACCACTAGATATGGACCAAACTCTCCGAGGAGCCCTGAAGAACCCTGAAGAATCTGATCAGGTGTTTTTCCCAGAGTGCCCTTGTCGGCGTCCTTGGTTGTCCGTCTCTGGCAGGAATGAAAGTGCCATTCAGAAATGTCCTCTCATTAAGGAGGCACAGGGCGAGCGAGAGGCCTTTTGTTCTACAGTGAAGGTGTATTGCGTGATCTCCCCTGTCATGTCGTGTTTCTATTGGCTCCGCATAACATGTTCAGTGTGAGTTCCCAGCCAGCATCACGCTGTCTGCGACATGTTTGTTGGAACAAACGGAGCCGGGGGAATTTGCGACTGGGAATTGAACATTTACGAATATTGTGGTTGTGGATGGGAACGTAACCTCTGCACCAAATGTGCATTCCTAAAATTATTTGTTTAGATCAAGAATTTTAACAACTTGAATGTCAGACATCGATTAAAAGGCTTTATTTGTGGAAGACATTTTGACTTTACCACTGTAGCTGATAACATCAATGACGCCGCCATTAAAGTGTTAAATACCTATTCTGCACCTCCCTAATTGATACTATTACAGCTGCTGCTATTAACTTCCAATACCACCTTTAGTGAAGCAGGAGAATGGTCAAATAGGTTATGGGCAGATTTAGTATTTTATGAGATTAGTAGATAAACAGAACATTTATTATTGTCTTAATCAGACAAATAAAGCAGTTTGGCTTAGCGTTGAACTCAAGGAACTTGTGGGCTATTTATTTTTTGTTGACAATTTACGGAGCAAACAGTTAATCGATGAATAAAAAAAGCTTTAAATGAGCATTATGCATGTGGCTGTTCTACAGACTCCACCTTCAAGCCAGACTGTAATATTCCCAGATTCTTCTTAACTAGAATCCCAAAAAGCTGCGGTTGGCAGTCTACCCTGAGTCAACAGTGGAGTCTTTCCTCACCAAATCCATTTATTAGCTTCCTTGACTAGACCTCTAATAGCCTCCAGGAGCCACAGAGCAGGCCTGCGACTGTGACTCAACAGGGGAAACTGTGGTCACGTCAGCTGACTGTCAGATCGTTTTCTTGCCGCTCAGCGATCTTTCAGCACACGATGCACTCAAACACAGTACTCAATCTGTTTGTCACTGGTAACCTCTTCCAGCCACACTGCTCATGTTGTCTCGTCTGGCCATGAAATCACACTGAAGCCCTATTTTAGAGATTCATGTGCTTGTTCGGCCTTTAGCTCGGTAGCTCATTTTGTAGGAAGCATGCAGGTTAATGAGAGTATGACTCGGTACCAAAAATAAGCAAATCACGTCATTTCTCGTGTTTATATCTTTATGAGGGGAGTTTACAAAGTCCGCTCGTTTGTATAAATTTAGCCTTCTAATTGCACCCTGTGATGTTAACAGAAATCCTCCTAAACAGAGGTGCCCGACGCTGACTCGCGAAGCATCCCGTGGCCTGAAAAGTGAATACTTGTATCAGCTTTCTGCTGCTTTCTTAGAGAAGTGCCTTAAGAATGTAAAATGCCTGAATTGTTCTTTCTTTCCCTCCTTTCTTCACAGATATTATTCGATCAGGCTCAGAGATCAATCAAGACCCAGCTTCTAACGTTTGTCAAAGAGTGAGTATTAATTGGATAAAGACGGATAACGAAGCTGGTTACACCTCTGGGCAATCTGTGCTTTTGAAGAATGGCCTCATTTTACTTTTTTAGTCTTATCTCTGTTTGAGACCGAGTTACAGCACATTTAGATTTTTACTCATGATTGTACCCAGATCAACTTAACGAGGAACACTGGACGTACATGAGGTCAACTTACTTGTGCTTCAAATCCATGCTGGAGGAAAAGTGGAGCAGATTTTGAATACAGAAAGCCCTCTCTTGAATATTCTGAATATAAAGTAGACAGTGCATGTAAGGACTAAGTTAATAGTATACAGTACAATATTTTCTCTTTATAGCCTCCTAATACTGGATTCCAGACTGCTCGTATGAAGCATTGAGGCCTTCTGCTTTATTTCATTATAAGGATTAAGCAGCTTTTGCCTCTAGCACACTGAGGCTTAACTTCCACATCAGCAGCAGCCATGCTTCTCACAGAAGGCTGGGAAACATCATTATTACTCACTCCCTTCCTGCACTCGAACACTAATCTCACCAAAGAACAAGTTTTGGGGCGCAGAGTTTGAGCACTTTGTCCTGAACAACCCTTACTTACAGAGACACAAGACCCGGATCAAGCAACTTCACAAAGTAATTTAGTTTTTCAACCTTATTGGATTTCCCCCTGACCTAGATTTATGTAATCACCTTTAACCTTTGCGTGTTCCTGTTGCCTGATCATGGTTTTGTTGCGTCATATCCCGAGATAACTTGGCTTCCTTTAACATTTTACCTTTCCCCTCACAATATTGTTGACAACAAAAGGATATGTCCTATTTGACCTCGGGTCATAGAGTTTGTCAAACCCCTTTAAGCTTGTGTGAACATGCTGTTATAACACTTTAAATATTTGTGGCAACAACTAAGAGTATTTCCACCTCAGATTATAGATCAACAGCGCAAAAAATAATTTGTAAAACCTTTATTCTGAAATCCAAACAAATCAATTAGTATCTTAGATTTAATTAACAGCAGATTATTTTCCTAAATTTGATTTCCCCATTGGCTCTCTCCTTCATGCTCAGAAATACTTGTACAATGTATGCAGTTAACTGTATGTCTTTGTCTTAATGAACGTCTGTCCCCTCCCTTCCTTTCTCAGTGACATACGTAAGTTCAAAGAAGCCAAGAAGCAATTTGACAAAGTCAGCGAGGAAAAGGAGGGCGCGCTGATGAAGAACGCCCAGGCTCCCCGCAACAAGCAGCACGAGGTGGAGGAGGCCACCAACATCCTCACGGCCACGCGCAAGTGCTTCCGACACATCGTCCTCGACTACGTTTTACAGGTGCAGCAACTCACTCGGGGATTTAAATAGCAAAACTATGCGTGCACTTAAAGTGTGTGAGAAATGAGAGAAAGGCCCGGTCCAGTGTATTTCAATACATGCGGTGATCATTGAATTTATTTCCTGTTGAGCCTCATTTCAATCCACATTTTACAGCTCATGAAAAAAAATACATTCGGTTCTCTAAAGTGATGCAGTAAGAGAATGTTGACGTGCAGCTTTTGAAATATGCTGATGTGGCACGAAGAGGAATGAACAGCAGCTGTGTTCGATTCAGTTGCATTCAAAGCTCATCCACATGTTCCAGTTTACCTCATCAGAGTGGATCGGGCAGGAAGACGAGGAAGGTAGAAGCAGATTGATAAGCAGGACACAGCTAGCAGCGGTTTGTTGAAGCAGTGTCAACAGGAATAGCAGCAGCAGAAGAAGAAGAAGTCGTCTTTGATTTCCTTTTGTTCTTGTGTGAACAGTGGCGTGATAGTTATTCATTTAGGTTTTTTTCACGCTTGCTGCACGCACAACTAAAATGAATATAATGCTGCTGTCTTCTGATGTTTATAACTCATCCGATTAAGGAGTTAATATGCATTTTCACATTAGGCCTCAACTCAGCCTCCTAGACTGATGAAAAATGATAGATCTGTCGTTAAGCGTTAGAATCCTAAATTTGACAAGTCTTGGTCAGTAACAAAATGTTCTTGTGGCCGATGAGTCATCATACTTGATGAATGGTGGAGAAATGATTCATATTTTTAGGTAAGATAAATATAGAACAAGCAGCAGGAGGAGATTCATAAAAACCTCTCGGGTCTAACAGTATTTGAAGAATGCTGCTACAAATTGAACATTGGAAGAAAAACGACTGGTATCCAAATTAATTAAATCAAACACTGCAGATCCCCTTTTCTGCAAATATGTTCCTTCTTCTTATGCATCTGGTAGATCTGTTTTTTTTCTGTCAAAGCCAAACTGATGTGTCATTGAATACAGTCGAGCCCTCGGCCTCTCCTCGTGGCCACAGAAGCACTGATGAATGCTTCATGCTTTCTGATAAGGCAGCTGTACGGGCACAGTTCGCTCCAGAATTAGATTTTGAAAAGAAACAACAAAGCAGGTTTCAAAATAGGTTTGGCAGTCTGCTCCAGTGGCCCACTGCGTAATCACTCTCTCATAAAATGAAGCCTGGCGGTGAGAAATTAGTTCTTAGTCTGATTATAGGAAATCGATGCACCCAAGAGCTTGCACAGCTCATGTAAATTAGTCTCCTTTTAAAGTTTCTCATCCGGGTAGCGCTGTCAGCACTTTTCAAATGTTGCTAACTTCTGCAGCTTTGCTTGTAGGAAACATTTCCGATGGATTCCAGCTTTATTTTTTGTTTTTTTTAGATTGTTTTTGTGGCATTTTTGCTTAATTATACAGCGCACAGTTTACAGTGACATGCAAGATGGTAGAGGGAGAGGGAGAGGAAAATATGAGTGAGGTTGTAAGCCAGACTTGCATTCATGACATTTTAAGAATGTAGCGTTTCTCTTTTTGCCCTGTTGTGCATAAAAATACTGAACTTTAAGCTGTTGGTTTGCTTTATTGCATGTTGGTCAAGCCTAGAAAAACAACACGTAAATGTAATGTATGATGTGAAAAACACAACATGGAGTAAACATCTCATTCAGATGTAGCTCGTCTCCTCTGACACACAAACCAGTAAAAGCAGAAGCACAGTTAGTAGAGATGCATTGAAGTTGTTTTTCTGCTAAACTTGCCTCAATAGTGACTAATTAAGCCCAAATCTTTTTACCACAACTTACCAACCAATTACCAACATGATGCTCATACATTTTGCTCGTGGCAGTTGCGTTTGTTGACACCATGATACACTTAAACAACCATCGCTCATAGCTGCCACTCGATTCAAAACTACTAATTGACTGTAATCGAGAGAAGGGGGGGGGGGCTTGTAAAAGATGTGATGCATCAGCCGCTGTGGCTAGGAGATGGAATAATAAGCTTCCTCCCCTGGGTGGGGAGTTACATCTGTGTATAAACACAAAGTGTGGTTGGTGTTACTAAGGAAAAGGGACTCACAACGTACAGCCACAGCAGGGATTTGAACTTGTGTTCTTCAGTGGAATCAAATGTTTGATGTCCCTGCTTTCAGGACCAAAATAAAAGGAAAACCATTGGACCCAGGTCAATGCATAAGCATGAGGCAGAGTGTTAAAATTCATCCAGAAGCTGCCTTGCCTTCTTAAGTGGTCGAATGCGCCACGCCCAGTCAGTGAGTCCACTGTCGCACAGCCATCATGAGTTCCTCTCAGTCACAATGAAGCCAGCCAGCATGACCGTATTTACAACCTGTTATAATGCATCTCTACTCTGTGACATTTACCTAAAATAACTTCCCAGGCCAGATGAGCAGCACAGTGTAGGTTAGGCTGTAGATGAAGAGGAGTCTGCTACACACACACACACACACACACACGCACACACGCAGAAAAATAAACCGAAACAGGAGGCTCCAATGACTGCAGCAGGGCAATGTAGATGCTAAGTGAGACTTGAGCTGAACATGAGACACGGAGCTCCTCCTGGTGTCGTTAGGAAGAACTGCTGTCCAGTAATGCTTGGGGGGATTTTTCTGCTTCAGTTCAACTCATTTCACGCTCATCTACTTTCTTTAATTTGTTCTTGTCTTTGTTCTTACCTCATTTTCCCTTCTGTCTTATGTTGTTTCGTCCTTGTATTTATTTTTTTCTCAGATATATCTCCACTGTAGATTTACTTAGTTTTTTAGTTTAGTTTGTTCTTCCTACCTCTCACTGTTTGTCTTTGTTCATTACAGATCAATGTGCTACAATCAAAGAGAAGATCGGAAATCCTGAAATCAGTAAGTACAATTTTCTTTCACGTGAGATGATCTGTGCGGCAGCCCTACTCGCTCTCTGAATGTTCACCGTCTTCTCCACAGATGTTGTCCTTCATGTACGCCCACCTGACCTTCTTCCACCAAGGCTATGACCTCTTCAGTGAACTGCAACCTCTGATGAAGCAGCTTGGAGGACAGGTACAGCGACGCATCTCTGAGCATTCACATGTTCACAAAGCTTCAGCAGCAGCTATACAGTGTTCTGTTTTCTCTCTCAAATATCGAAGAGCAGTGGAATACCTGTTAGCTAAGTTTACACACCAGTGCACTTTCATGGTAAAGCCTTTTTACTACTTGCACGAGGACAATGCTGTTTGATTACCTAGAGAGCATTCGTGTTCAGGGGCTCATGTAGAGCTCGTTTCAGGGACTCTGAAATTAAACATTTGGTCGTCTTCTCCCACAAGTGGTCGTGGGTTTACGCCTCGGTGATTAGGGAGCAGCAGACGACCTCTCTCTTTGTGTTTGTGTTCCTGTCCTCTCAGTGTGTGTGTGTGTGTTTAAAGCTATCTTCATGTCAATTGATATTTCATCTGTGTGTGTGTGTGTGTGTCTGTGTGCATCCTCTGATAAACAGAGCCGTCCCTCTGAGCCAGAGGATGGCCCGGTTATGACTTTAAGATGATTATCACAGTGGAGCGGCTGTTACAGTAAGCGCAGGAATGAGGAAGAAAGCAGCCAGAGGGCTGGAAAAAGGTTTTCCCATAGCCGGACTCACTGACTATCAGCTGAGTGAACACAGCATAGAAACCTGAGATTGATGCTGAAGCTTGTGGACTATAAACTCTGAGACTGGAGCAGTAGAAGAGCCGACAAAGAGGATATTTCTCAAAATTGGGTGCAGGACCAGGGAAGGAAGGAGTCACAGTGGGGAGCAGAAGAGTAGAGGACAGTTCTTAAGAGAAAAGCGTGGCGTGTAAACATCTTTTTCTGACGTTTTAACCAAGAAAAAAAGAAGGCAAATGAATCAAACTGTGTTTTTAATTTTTTTTTAAGACCATTTTTGAAGCCAGATCTGAGGAGTTGGGATAGAAGAGTGTAGTTGCTAACCCTCATGCTCTGACGTTGATGCTATCAAGAACTTGACAGAGAGAACCAAAGAGTGCCGAGAAAAGAGAAGGGGGAACAGAGGACCCACTTTGAAAAGCAGATTATAGGAAGGGATAAGAGGCGAAATGTAATCTTCTCAAAGCAAAAAGTGATTGAAGTAGAATGGAAAGGCATGAACTGTAAGCCTTCAACACTCAAAAGACGGCAAGTCTTGTGTGAGGAGAGAGGGAGAGAAGTGCAAAAGACTGTTTTTAGAAACCCGGCCCTGGAAAGGGAGGAAAAGAGAGCTAGAGGGTCGTTTCCAGAAGTACACCGGCGCTGTGTGGATCGTAAAGCCTGTCGCAGTGAATTTGGAACAGTGCAAAACTGAAAGGAGAGGAAGATCAGAGGCCGAGCTGTGGGAAGCCGTGACGGAGAGGATTGTGGATTATCTCTTTTCTTCTCTCCATCATGAAGCTGAAGAAGGTGAAGAGGCTGTGCAGGGAGGTGTGGAGGAGCTGTCAACAGGTCTGATAATGTGACTCGATGCCTGTAGCCAATGAGAGACAGAGATCAAGGGGGGCAAAATCAACAACACAGACCCACAAAATGCTAGTGCGTATACTTCACATATTCTGTAAGGTTTGGTGAGAGGAAATGATAGAAGTGAAGGTAAACAAACAAAGCTGGTTTCCCACTCAGTTACAGCAATATACATACACTGCATCGTAGGCGTTTAGTTGTCTTTCGTGATATTGCTGCCAGTGTTTTTGTTTGGGAACAGAAGACTGGTTGTTGGAGTTATTATAAAAATTAAGATAAAAAGATGTTTTTTGCAGAAAGCTGAGGAACCGTTACAGTAATGTTCCTGTGGTTGTTTGGTAGTGAGTTACTGAGCTGGTATATAGACTAAGCTTTTCCAATGTGTTTGAATGACCACTTTATGATTCATGTCAAAGATGCTACTTTTTCCACCCTTGCCTTTGGAAACGGCTTCTAAATATACGATATTCTGCTGATTGCTCCATGACACAAAGCCTCAGGGTTGGACATGTGTTGAGTGCACATATTCATTCAGAAGGATGTTTTGTCATCACAGTGTTGCATGTTGAGACAGATCTGAGCAGAAGTCCGAGTGACCCAAATGTTTCAGTGTGTGGTCGGCAGGAGACTGGCGTCTTGCATAGTAAGAGAGATGAGATGTGAAGGGTAAGGTGAGTCTTTCACAAAATATGGGGAGATAGAAACACACACCTGCCTTTGTAGATGCATATAGAAGCAGATAGACAGCAGGAACTGGACTAGTTATGGAGCGACAGAGGAAAACATTTCCCATCTGATGTTATCAGCCTGCCGCTCTGCCGTCCACCCATTTCCTCTCCAAGCACAACAAAAGATCCGGCTGCCTCAAACGCTGTCTTCTCTGAAATAATTGGGTCGCAGCTTCTTTTTTTTGTTGTCATATTTCCCCTAAAAGTACTATATTTAGTGAACGAAAACAAAGTGAATTACACAGAATACACAGAATGTTGTTTTTTCAGAAAGGAAGTAAAGTGGTTCTGCTCTCTTTTATCTCATTTGGCACACTGACTTCTCTGTAACCCGTTAGTATGAATGATCATTTAGTTTGAAGTTGTGGTCTGTGAAGCCACAGCAGGCATTAAAACCATGTGAGGAACACGGCTAATCTGTAGTAAACATGCAGATACTGATCCCTCTGTGTTTGAAGCTCGAGACACAATGATTTAGGTCAGATTGCGGTCACAGACTATCAAAAGGCACACAGTCCAATCTCACTGCTCTTAGGTGAAATAACACATTTTCGGCATCGCCCTATGACCTCCAGCACTTCATTAAAGTCTTTATTTTTTTGCTTTCGTCTCTGCTCAAAAGATCCTTTTTGTTTTTGTTGTCTACACGCGATGGTTACTCGTGGGGACAAGGAGAATCAATCAACCCCGATCCAATTTCACACATGACGAAGCCCCCGCAGCACGGCCCGTCTTGTTTAGAGGAGAAGGCCTTGTCCTGTCTGGATGCGGCCTATGGGAAGAGTTGTTTATTTGCTGGAGTCGTTAATGCGTTCAGGAATAGAAAGGAAAGCTTCTGTGCACACACACGCTTGCATTCACCTTTCAAGTGCACGAAAAGAGTGTTTTCATTTGAATGGCCCAGCGTGAGATTGTATGACTTTCACACTCACTCACTGTCTCTAATCGTATGGTGAGATAAATCAAAAGAAAGAATGTGACTCGTTCATATTTGGCCTGCAGTAAGAATGTAAACATGTAGGTAGCAAAGCAAAACATCTTCATCAATATTGGAAGATGTGTTGTTGTGTTTTTGTCAATTTGGGTTTCATTCCTTTGAATTTACAGAATACAGAAAATAGGTTTTCTGAAAACAACAACTCGAGCGATGTGTCTTAAACGTTTGAGTATGCTGTTTTGATTTAAGTATGTCTGGTTTGGTTAGCTTGACTTATCGGTTGTTCTGTCTGTTGCAGTTGGACCAGCTGGTGGTGGATGCTGCCAAAGAGAAGAGGGACATGGAGCAGAAACACTCCACCATCCAGCAAAAGGTACACTCAACATCTTCACTTCCATTCAAAGACAAATTCACAAAGCACATGCAAACCAAACCGCATTCACACTTGTGAATATAAATCATAAATGACACCTTTATCCTCTTTTCCTCTGCCCAGCAAGATGAAAAACACAGAAACATAAACCCATGCTCACCTCAGAGTGTGCTCAACATGACATAGATACTCTGAGCCAGGATTTCTCCTGCATGTGTCGTGACTTTATGGCTGTTAGATCCCACAAAGCCGTTCTTATTGCACTCAGGGCCTCCTCCCATTAAAAGTGAACTCGGAGCACTCTTCTGGGATCTTGCAGGGCTTACCTTCTACCTCACGGCCTCTTGTGCTCGTAGCCTCCCTCACTGCTATACCTGCTCACCTTCACAATGCTGCCAGAGTTTGGGTCACCATGCTAAAACTTCACAACCTCATAGTACAGTTAAGTCTTTCATGGCAAGGCAATAAAAAGGCTAAGGACAAATCAATTATTTGGAATTGAAAAAAACAACATTGCATATGAAATAATTTGAGTGAATGGAGGTAGGACTCCGCCCTCAGGTGTAAGGTGATCCCCCAGGATGATCTCAGCCACACACACCCATGCATTATTGACGGCTGACAGAAACCCATTTCCAAATAAACAAGGTTGAGTTTCAGCACGCTCCCATCTCTGGTCAGCACCCACGCCAACCCGAAAATCCCCACTGAGTCACACTTGTTGATATATTACATACCAGAAGGTGCACCAGATGTTTTTGACAAAAAACTGAACTGTAAAGAGGCAAGAACAATTAACAAAGGATTAATGTCTTGTGTTCATTTTGGAGGCTGCTGTTGTTTTTAGCTCTATGAACCCTCAACCGAGTAAATTAAATAATAATAAAGCAGGACATGAGGTGTTATGTTACAGTATGCGGTGGTGGTAAATTGCCCTTAGCTTTAATTGTACATCACACGGCATCGTTGACTCCAGACATCTGCCAGCTTTTAACCAAGCTGTCATCTGCTTGGCTTCTGTTCATTCGTCTGCCTATCGGTGATGTTTGTTTCAGTCTCCAACTGTGTGCAAGCGGTGCATCTTCTGAGATCTCTTTTCTTGTTTTTCACCAGCTCTGTTGTTCCTTCCTTCTGCTTTGTAATTTTTATTTTGAATGCCTTCTCCATCTGTTTTCCTCTCTCCCCCTCTCTCTCCTCCCTCTTGCTCAGTCAGCGATGGTACGTGTGCCAACTTCCGCCTGTCCTTGAGCACCTACCCTCCACCTCCCCTCCCTCAATTTATCTAGATGCTATTTATACGTTGTCTCTCTCTCTCTCTCTCTCTCTCTCTCTCTCTCTCTCTCTCTCTCT